TCCAAGAGAGACAGGGGCTTAGTTGGACATTCCGTGATCGCTAAAAACACGGCGGTTTTGAAATTTACTCTTAAGCCGACATTAGTCAAAGATTATGGAATAATTAAATAATTTTATTTTTTCGCGGGTGATTTTTGTACTGATTGTTGATTTAATTTACAGTTGGCCCATCGAGTAAAGTCCGATTAAAGCAACCAAAGGTGCCTTGTCATTGTCAAAATTCTAAGCAGTGAAACTCCATTTTGTCCATGGCTTTCATCTTCTAATTAATAAAAAATCTAGTATATAATAATAAATAATGCTTTGTTTGTGAAGCTTCCCATCACGTTATCGTAGATCTTACTAGCTATTTAAAATATAATTAATTATCTTATAATCAAAAGATATAAAATTCTTAAATATAATTATTTATATTTGACAATCATACTTTATAATTTAAACTATATCGAATTATAAAATATGAACAATTAGATTAAAAAGAGTTTTAACGTTAAAAGTCCACCCCTATTTAATAATTAGAATAATTTAATTTGATACAGTTGAAACTATATTATATTTTTATCTATACTTAAATAATAGAAATAAGGTATCTTATTGTTAAGTATAAATCCATTTTATTCTCAAATAAGAATATATAAAATTCTCAAAAATTAAATAAATTCTTAACTATATACTAAGTATTAATTTAAAATCTTACCAACGAGGGTTGGATCAAATGGTAAGCGATTTGTTCCAGCTTAAACAAGATCTCGAATTTGAGTTCTTGTGTACGTAGCAGCCCCCGCTGGGAGACTCACCCACTATTTTCAGGTATGCGACGCGGGTCGGGTCCGGATTAGTCAGGGCAAAACCTCGATACTGGGCGGGAAACCCAAAAAAAAAATTAATTTAAAATTTTTAATAATTGATTTTTTTAGTATTTTATCCCATTAAATAAAAATATTACTATTTTTTCTTAATTATATTTTTTTTATCAACACTGCTTTTTCTTAATTATAACCCTTAGGACTTTCCTCATATTTCCAGTACCAATGCCTATAATTCCTGGGGATTGCGTTTTTACTCTTCCCTTATCTTTCACTTAACAATTCACGATTTCATTCATTCAGAAAAAGAAATTATAGATTTTCATTCATATTCATAGAATGTTGATAAACGAGGATAAGATCATACTAGAAAAAATATATCAGAAAATAAAAGTACAATTTGTTAGTAAAAATAACATTTCTTATAATTATTTATAGAACTACAGATTATATTACAGCATTTTTATTTATCAAAATATATAGAGCAAGAAAAAATAAAATATCTTGATATTTAAAATGTTAAGATATTTAATTATAGTCATTAAATATATAAAATATAATATGTGTCATAAATTTATCATCTTTATCAAATTTATTATATATCAAAATCAAAACGTCTTAATTTTTTCTTTTTTTTACAAGTATGAAAAATATAACATAATTTAAACTGAATAGATTATAACACATTAACCATTAAATAAAAAATAAATTCACTAATATTAGAAGCTCTTCTCTGAATAGTTCCTATCTTATACTTCACTGCAGTTTAGGTAGTAATGCAAGGTTTTCTTCCGAGAGTATACACTAGTACTAAGAAAGGGTAAAAATGTGATTTTGGAGAATTTTAAAATGGCGACCAAAATAATTTAAGAGGGCGCACTCAGCATTTAAGACATTACACATGATTTCCGCCCACAATTTGCTGGCGTGTTTAATATTTTACAGGGAGAGAATCTCTAGTGCTTCACTTTGATTCGCCAAATGTAGGGAGACCCGCCTGATCTAATCACTGATTGTCCCGACACGTTTTGGAAACCAATCGGGTGGAACCACGTAATAAGGGAGAACTAGAAGTACGTTTAGATTGTGTACGAGTACTTACACAGGAAGATATAGGTTGGCCTGGAAATCGTAGAGTAGCGGACGACAGAGAATGTTAGGGGCTCCGCGCATGTGGGTATTGTTGGGAACTTGGAATAGACCATGTCGTAATTATGGATCCGCGGGACTAAAGTGACGTTGAAATGACTAATTTATCATTCTTATTTCTTACCATATTTTGTCTCGGTCTTACAGGTCGGTGCCGCCCGGAAAAGACACCAC